CAAGAATCTAGGATACTGAAACACACTATTTTCCTATCAATCACAGTGATTTTCTGTATGTGCCATCTTTAATTGTTCAGCTTAATAAAAATAAGCCATCCCAATTCAGAGCACATATTTTGCTGTTAATACATGAAACAGTAATTTAAGTTACATGTATGGGAGGCAGAGCCTTTTGCCTTGAGGTAAGCAGACATACAAAGCAAGGGTAATAAGGTGACTCTTGCCTCCTGTCATACATGTCACACACATTTAGACTTCTCCACTCCTCACACTGTCATAACAGCAAACTGGTTTTTGGGAACTTGTCTACACAACCCAGCTAATATAAGTTTTCTGATATCTAAGTGGCAAACTGTAACCTCCGTGCCCGTGACTAGCTATCAACAACAATACAGTGGGGCAAACTTCAAGGAAAACATGCATTAACCACATCTGTATGTAACAGTTCCATTTTTAAATTTGTTTAGTCTAGTTCACATTTTATCTCATTTTACAACTCTATAGAGCAGGAGCTATGTTTTACATTTCTGGGATGCTTAGCACAGGACACTGAACATGTGTGGGGTCTCTGGCTGCAGTTATCGTACCAGTATTTATCACTGAGTGTGTGTGTGCACCAGTGCACACTGATGAGTGAGCTAAACAGTAGAGCCCAGAGTAAGATGCCTCTTTCCTTTTCAGAGAGACAAAAGAGGGATTCAGCTCTCAGCAGCAGTCTTTCTGACCAGACACTCTTTGGAGCTTTGCTGACTTCAGTACATTAACATCTCCCACTTTCCCTACTTTTTAAGTGAGTAGATTGGCTACCATTCACAGACACAAATTACCATTTCAAGAGCAACTTTTTGGCACCAGAACTGTTTATATGGAAAACAGATTAAAGCTAAAATCCAGCTACCATTATAATTTCAAAACCCAGTAGGACTCTAGACATGCATTTTACTTGCTTATTACTGCTATAATAAGAAATACGGGGTATTCAACCAGAACATCCACGTTTATTTTAACATGGATTCATCATATAATCAAGAGGTTTTAAGCTAACATCAAATGTCTCACAAAATATATTGCATTGCTTTTAGAACCCACGCTCTCTTCTTTCAAGAAATGCAATCAGTCTACATAAAAATAAATGCCAAGGTTTCAATTACAAATTTCTGCAATATTGATTTTTTTTAATATGACATTCAGTAGTGTATATTACTTTCCAAATGAAATCTTTATGCAGACAGCTGTGCCCCAGTATCATAAAGATACTAAGTGATATTTACCTGTGAAGCATTCACGTGTAAAGATCTATCATTTTGAACATAACTGTACAAGCAGTTAAAGTATCTGTTGAGAACATACCTTGTGTAAAAGCTGTAAGTTCAGACCTTAATCCATTGCCATTGACTGTTCAGTAAACACATTCTACACAGCATTGTTGAGCTTTTTACAAACAGAACAGATAGAACACAGTCAAATAATTCCTGATCTGACTGAACAGATGAATAATCAACAGAAATTAATATACCTGTGATAAGTGCACCGGTTGATATGCCCTTTATAATAGGTACAACTTGTTTTAATAAAAGAATAGTGTCCTCAGATCAACTTTTTTTTTTTTCCTCCTACCATTGACTAAGTTTTAAAGGTCCTGCCAAAACACTTAAGTATTCATTTTTTAATTATCATGAAGACAGAAGCTAGGATTTTCTGGTAACTAGGTAGTACAACCATTGCAACAAAGGATTCAATACACATTGGAAACTATTTTTTACAATTCACTGGTATAGATATTTACTGTATAAAAGGTAAAAAAAATAACCTTACAAGTAAAAATAGTTTACATCTGAAATTACAATTTTACCAGCAAGCATGGAAAATAATTATTTATAAATCACTGTGTCCACAAGTTTTGCAGTGTTTTGATTACCATCAACCTCATTAAATAGGAGGAAACACAGGCAAGTATCTACTGAGTGACCTGCCTGAAGTCACAGTGAGTCAGTGGCTGAAATAAAAACACAGTCCTGCTCTCCTGCTTTCCACTCCCTGTGTCCTAATCACTGATTGAGCATGAATTCAGGCTCAACACCACAGATCTTGCCTGGGTATAAGCTATAGCAATTGACAGCAGCTGAAGAGTGCAAGAGAGACAGATCCCCACGGGTAGGTAACTAACATTTATGATGGACTGTGATTTTGATATGGTAACATGCACACTACCAAGGATGTTACATACCTGATATAACAAGCTGACCAGTAAGCTCACTGAGGGTGTTACTCCCTGATCCTGTCTCCCAGAAGCCAGTCTGGAACACTAATGCCCTCATTCTTTCCTGTAGACTATCAACTGTGGCCAAACTACATATCCTGTGACCCGGTCCTCTCTCTCCTCTGGCAGCAAGAGTAGATCATTACAATTAGATTCAGTTCAGATTCATTGTTTCTATAATATCTATGACTCTTGTATCAGAACTACAGCACTATATGAAAAGGTATATTGATAATGAATAACTGGCAGAGATTATCCTTTTAGCTCAAATACTAAAATACTGCATTTTAAACAATTACCAATTTTTTTCTTTTGTACTCTACCATTAAGTGTTCTACAGACAACAGTTTAGTTACAGCTATGTTACTATCATATGGCTCTTATCAATTCACATTAATAACACAAAGATTTATTTGTAATAAACAGAAAATTTCTGAATATTTTGCAAATTAAAATTCTGGGTTACAGGAACAACCTATCTCTAATAATTCTTTGTGCATCTCTAAGTTCAGTTAAATCACATTGCAGCAAAACACCTCCAAGTGTGCAAATTCTGACAGTGAATTCCGCAAGAAATTTTATTCTGAAATAAACAAAACCATCACTATTTGAAAAATCAGTCTCAGTGGAAACCTACAGAGAAAAAAACTAACAGTTAATTTTCAGAAGTGAGGGGAAATTAAAACTGGTAAAATTATTTGTCTCCCTTCATTCCTAAGGGAGGACATTTTGTCAGCTTCCAAGGAACATGTTCTTGTTTTACTAGCTGGCTGAAGCAAGCAGTGCAGACTTAGTGGACAGAGAACCTCATGCTGTGAGTTACTTACCTGCAGTGAAACCCATGACCACTGTCTGGATTACTGCCTCCTAAATGCAATCTGAAGATTGTGGTCTGTCAAATATCAGCTGATGATACATAAACAGCTGCTTAAAACCCTCTAATGCATAAACATAAGCAACCAAGGAAAGAACAAAATTGAGAAAAAGAAAACAAATTTTCAAAATTAAGCTTAATTTTTATTTTGCAGTAAATAAAAATCACTGTGGCAATATTCTACAAGACAATCAGTGAAGTGTAGTTTTTTTGTTAGGTGGCTATTGGATTACAAGGAAAATTTAAAAGTGTTACTGTATGCTTTTAATATACAGACCAGAGCCATTACTTTTTTACAATTTTTGTCTGCATTGCAGGCAAGGCTGCACAGTTACAGGAATCAGATCAGAGAATTCCCCATGACACTGTATATTGATTCAGAAATGAGATTTCAGGTAAGTACAAGGATCCATTTGCACAGATGTAACTACAAGTTTGGGATCACTGTAGCATCTGTGTTTATTCCTTTCTGCAGTATAAACAATACTATCATCTTAAATTAGTATATAAAAAGTTCATATGACAAGCAGAACTTTACCTTAACTAAAAGGCAAAAAGATTTTGCAAGTTTACAACAATTAAAACGTATTTTTCTTTTCCTTTTCCTGTTTCTCTGAGGTGCTTTTTAAACAAGTTAAAATCAATTTATGGCAAATGAACAGTATGCTGTGTTTAAGAAATATTTTCTTTGCCCATCAAAAAACCTACCCATTTTCCCTTCTGCAATACTGCAGATACAAAAAAAAAAAAAAATCTATTATTTTTAGTAACATTTCATGTTGTTATAAAGACTTTGGTATACTTCATTCCAGCCAATAAGTGATATACTAGAACATGAACAATATAAGTAAAGTAATGAGGATTTTTAAGTCAGTATTTTATTTTGGCACACTTTTAAAAGTATTAAATAAGCTTATCATCTTTCTGAGCTACTACTTCATGTTTAAAGATCAAATTATATTTTTGGAAAGCAATTATGTTCCAACTTTGATTAGCATAGCAAATGTTAATATGTATGTGAAAAATGCTTTGTATCGGATATTTCAAGGTATATTAAAATAATTTTTGAAATGCAAATTTTTACTACTCATTGAGGTAAATGGGAAAAAAGATGCACCAAAAATGACTGAGAGGGATCCTGAACTAAGGAACAATCCTGAATTCCATATTCAGGCAAAAACATAACCACAAGCAGGAGTTTTGCCACAGAAATTAATTCATAAAACAATTGTCACCTTTCAGATTTCCTTCAAATCAAACCTCTCGCATCTCACAGAAAAAAGGCAGCGGTGAATGAAAAAGTAGGCAGAAGAACCCTAGCAGTCTGTAACTTACAGTCCTTACTAAGAGTTCCGCATCTTTTTCCAGTCTAATGCCTTTTCACAGGCAAACATAACCACTGAACAACAATCACGTAGGTCCACAAGTTATATATACGATTACAGTATAGTGATACCCAGATTTCAGTAAAGTCAGCATAATTTACAGTCAAACTATGCAGAAAGTGCAGAGGAAACCAATTCCCCACTCTATTATACAAAACAGTTTGCTGAAAATATGAAGAAATCTTCTCCTGAGAGAAAATCAGCAAAGTAGAAAAAATAAAATGCACCCTCCTTGAATTTTATTTTGACTCGGCCTCTTCATCCACAAATTCAACTAGCGGAGCGTGTCTATTGGCCTGGGCACCTTCTTGGAAATTAACCTTTTTAATCACTCCTGCCTTTGGAGCCCTTATGGTATGCTGCATAGAAACAGATCAATAGTGAAGCAGCAGAGTACTTATTTTTCCTGCTCTCTCCCTCTCTCAGGTGCCCCCCCTCCCCGCCCCCAGCAAATGCTAATATTACTCTTTGGTGCAATTAGAACAGAACACACTTAATTACTTCCTCCGACACATGTATATTTATTTTAAACCTCCTTTTAAAATGTTATCCCAGTCCTTTTTCCAAGTTTTACTTTCTTATCAACATTTATTTAGTATTTTTAAGTATACTGGGGACAAAAATGCTGTATAATGTTATATTTTGAAGTATGAACAACTGAATGTTATTTTACTTCACCAATACTTTCTGTTATTATTATAAATACCAGGCAGAAATAATGCAGTTTTAGTCCAAAATGTTAATCATATAGCAGATTTATTCCTTTAAGAGGAATGTGCGGTTTTACTAAAGATATTTTTGTTCACTGGCTAGGAGGGGTCTTTATTGAACAGGTATTTGGCAAAATGCAGATGAAATACAAATACAGCTACTAGTGGCAGTAAAGGAATAGCATGTTTACATACCAGTCCCCAAATTCGTCTACTTGTTATTGTATCAGGTTAGTTTTCCACTGAAGTTTTGTTTGTTGGTAGTTTTCTACATAGGGTTAGTCTAATATCAAAACACTTAATACCAGATATTAAATCCTTACATCTAAGCAAGGATTCATTTAAATAATAGTTTGCTTTTTACATCTTACATTTTATATTTCAATAGCACTGCAAAAAAAAAAAAAAAAAAGAACAAATCAGATCATATCAGTCTGAGGTATCAGCTGGAGAGCGACAAGCATTTAGCATCCAATTGCAAATAATTTTGGGTGTAATTTTTTTTAGCGCGCAGTTGTATTTCATGTAATTTTAGTGTAGTTTGGAAAAGGGCATGATAAAAGAAAGGTAAATTTTCTCAACAATGTTAATTCTGCTACCACAAACTGGTATTCAAAATAAACTAACAGCCAAACCAAACCAGTTCAGGCTACAAAAACTATAGTTCAAACAAACTGAGCCATGGTCAAGCCATGTGACAAGATACAATGGCCAAAATGCTAGTCCACTGAACGCCACGTGGACAATTACAAAGAATTTTTAGTGTACTCTTGGTAAAACTTTATGTAAATAAAAACAAAAATATTATGAACAAAAAAAAATCATGGGCATATTTACAAAGTCACCATTAGCTAAATTTCTGCATGAAGTAACTGCAGACATTACATATGCTTGTATCAGAAACAGTGATCAGAAGATACACCTAGACAATTTTCTGCTAGAAAAGTGAAAGGAGGGGAAGGGAGAGAAGGATTGGCAAAGCTAACCAAATGAATGTTAAAACATCTGCAGAATACCATGGATTATATAATCATCATTTGTTAATAAAATAACAGCAAATATAATCCTCTAAAATCTAGTCAGACACAACACTTGTTTCACAGCATATGAAGGGATACTGACATCTGCAAGCTACACTCTGCACCACACTTCAATAAAAATTATTACATTCTGACCAGATTTTTATTTTCTCAATAATTAAAACCTTTTGTACGTCACTTACCTCCATTTTCATAGCTATCATAACCATTAGAGGGTCTCCAATCTTAACCTTATCCCCTGCTTTCACAAACACCTACAATTCAAGAGAAAATTGGGAAAAATCATGCATGTCTGTACCACTAAAAATCATCAGCTGGATCTTGGCTAGCACAATCCACTGAGTGTGGTTTTGTAAAACAGCTTCATAATATCTTTATTATTGTTGAACTGAGTACCTGAGTTCTCTAGATAATACTCAAGGGAAGAAGTCAGAGGCTATAGAAAGAGGTTCGGTAACAGCTAAAAGGATGACCAGGAAGCCATTTATGTATCAAAGAAGAAACACTAGAAGAGACAATGTATATTCCACCCTTTCTGGGCTTAAGAGCTTGTATTTTGAGAGAGAAAGTACAGAACCTCTTCCTGGAGCCAATCCCTAAAGCTGTTTTTAAAACAAAATCCAGAAAGAAGATTGCAGGAGCCACCTAGTTGTTCTACCATAATTCTGATTTAGAGCGTTCACTCAGTATGTAAGAGATCCACATTCAATGTACTCCACCCTCTGAAAGGGTTCACGCCTTTTTATTGCTAGCAGAATCCTTTAACTACTAAACTCTCCTGGAAATCTCTTTTCTGCTGAAATTTTGTCACTGTACAGAGAAATACACAAGACTTGGTGAGCTAACAAAAAAGAAACAAAACCAGAAACAGAAGCAGCAAAACAGCTTAACAAAAAAGGCACTTCTGAGTATTTTTTTTTTTGCAAGTGCATCTAGCATCTCACTCTTTTGGTTAGATGAAATGGATCAAACAGCCTGTAACACTTCAGGGAACTTCAACTTAGAAAGTAATTAAGATGAAGAAAAAATTATTTAAGCAGTAGGATTAGTTAAATATTGATCTTTCAGAGCTCTAGAAAAAGAAGACTAGAAGCCTGAAAAACTCTTGGGTGGCTGCTGAAAACTCAGAGTAAACAGGGCTTTTTCCAATTGGGAGAAGTCACACAGCACTGACATTTCTGGCCCTGATTATTTCCTGGCAGCACAGAAGCAAGCATCATTTCTGGAAGAGTGAACTTGGATATATATTGGAGGATCAATTTCCCACCCATATTATTATAATTACCTTTTCAACTGTGCCTGTCATGGGCGCTACAGCACCACTTTGCATTCCCACTGAACTCACTGCAGATAAGTACTTGGGTACAGGAAGGCCAATCTGAGCGCTACCTTCCTACAGAAATAAAATCAATGACATATGAGCTAACAACATAAAATAATACCACTAGTACACATGCTGACATACAGGGAAAGAACTGATCCAGCTTTAGGCAAACGAGTCAACTGTTTAGGGTGGCAGACTACTGAGGTCAGGGCAGTAAAAGGACTTGCTTATGGCATGCTTACTACTTTGCTGATGTCTAAGTCCTTAAAAGCCACACCTGCTGCTGCTAAGGATCAGCAAGGAAGGAACTACCTCTGTGAAAGAGACTCCATATGGACCTTTGTACCAAACCCACACCTTCCCTATTCACACAGCAACAGCACAGAAGGTTTTAGAAAACACGTAAAGGCTGTTTGCAGAAGGGGTAGGCAGGCTGCTGCAACAAGTAAGAAAGATGTTGGCGTCCTCATTGTCAAGCATTGTCAATATGAGTGTTTCACAATTTACAATAAAATGGATTCAGTGCTAAGTTTAGTGAAAAATTCTCACTGTTATTCAAAATCCCCTAATTCCTCTCGGACTTGCTACCCAGAGTTTCCCAAAGACTTGTTCTCCCCCACATCCTACCCACATCCTAAAACTCCTGTGATTTCTTCTAGATCCCCCACTGCAGACTCCACTCTGATACCACAAGAAAACTGGGCTTTGCCAGCAAAGTTTTCACTGCATTCTGCTGAAAGTCTTAAGGGGCTCAGAGCTAGAGGTTAATTATTGAAACCAATACATAATAATTCGCTTATCTAGATTACATTTTTATTGAGTTACTTTAAGGCCCTGTAATCTTTTTAACTGCAAATAAAAAATTACCAGCCTAATAATGTGAATCAGGGTACCTCTTCTTTCAAATGCCATTACTCATGCAATGCAGACAACGCCATGGTAACTCCTAATTCCAATTTTTTAATATTAGCTGAAGTTACCCTTCCCCAGACCAATACTGATTTCTTTCTTATAATTTAATTTAATAAATGTAACTGAAATAAAAATATCAGTTACAAGCACTTTCAAGTAATTGTCAGTTTGAAGTAATTGCTATTGTTCTATGACAAACTTAGATACTTGACCATTTTAATATTTTGTGTTCCCCCCTCCCAAACCATCATTCGCAACTCTGATTCACCTAATTGTATTTTATCTTTCTAAAAGGAATTCATTTTCTCACTCACTGACCATAAGCAACTAACTTGCAATTATAGCTATAAATCAATCAAGTATCAAAACATTATGGGCCAACATTAGGACTTGAAATCGTGATTCTCTTTCACATTCTCTTGCAATTTATATTGTTCATTTACATGGATAAAACTCTGAAATTTTATACTTGTGATAATAAAGAAAGGAACTTTACCGGAAAGAAGAGATAAATGGTGTTGTCCAAAATGACCAGTTTGGACTTACACACGGTTCCATTTACTGAAGACCTCAAGTAAACTGAATCACCTTCATTGAAGATCTCTCCAGATATCAGGAACGTTTCATCTTGAATCTGAAAGTTAGATGCTTTTGTAAGGACAAAGGCTAACCCTTCATGAGCAATAAACCAAAAGTTAGTATTTGTAGTATACACTCATAACCCGTGATTCTTCATAGATAATTGTGGAATTAAAAAAAAAAATCTTTTAAAATCTTATGCATCCTTTATTTTTCAGTTAACAGACTGTATTCTGTATCCAGTGCAATCAGCTCAGAAGATTAGCTAATATGCTCTCCCAGGACAATTTTTATCATCAGCTATGCACTAGCACTCAGCAAAACACAAAGGTATGCTATTTCTCAGGAAAAACTAAAAAAACCCAGAACATTCAGTTTAGTCATGCTACTATAATCCAGTATTTTTAATCTGTCCTAGCATCTTCACTTTCTTCAAACTGAAAAATCCATACTATTCAGCTGACGTCATAAGATTCCACGATGCTATCCAAAAGACAGGTAACTTCCTCAGTCTTAGAAGCTTATAATATAAAACCTAAAATATATTCAGTAAACCTACAAAGGAGTAGAGGAGAGCAGTAATGGGAACAGTGTCAATTCGACACCAAAGCTGCAAAAGAAAGACCAAATGGAAAGGTTATTTATTTGTAGGTAACCCTTTCATCTACATCAACGGAAACTGCATCTCTGCCACAACTTCAGAATACACAGACAGTAAGAATATGAATATAAGAGCATTACATTTAACTGATATTTTTAGTTCTAAGTCTAACATCACTGAGCAAAGAATCAGAGACTTGCTGGTCTTTCAGGATGTTACGACTAGAGATAAAATTCAGTCTTCATTTATATAGTTGCACACTACTTTTCCACTGAATGAAGACCTTATAACATGTATTGAAAGGACACTGTTGATCTGATACTGATCCCTGAGAAAAAAATAATTTGTCTGATCAGTACCCTGAGCAGGGGCACAAATTAGGGCAATACCCTGGGCAGCGCTGTCAGTGCTTGCCAGTTCCATGGCCCAGCAACCTGCTCTAGCAGATTGGCCTCAGGACAGGTTTTGTAGCACCCCAGAGGCACTGTCCTCCGCATAATCAGCTCCCGGTTCTATTTCTCCATCCCTTATCTCCAGCTTCTCTCCATTTCCATCTCAACCCCCATTCTTCCTTCTTCCCTGGGACTCTACATTCTCCCCAGTTGCACTTCCCATCCCCAAAAGGCCCCACTCAGCATTCCTTCCAGCCTCTTTTTATTTTTTGCTGACATTACTTATATGAGATAAGCCTAAAGTGTAAAAGCTTTCCTGCATTATGTATGTAATCAATACACTCAAAATAACCTGGGTATTACCTGAGGGATGTGGGTTATCTCACTATTCGTATAGTAGAAATAAGGGTTTAAGTTACCCAACATGTGGTCATACACATGAAAGCACAATAATTTTCTCACTATTTTTCTAGCATGCTCATCTCTATACAGTCTAAGCAGTTCATAAATACTGACTTATTCTCATTAATTCCCCTTTTCTGAATATTGGAAACAAGAAGCTGAACTACAGAAAGACCGCATTCTCAAGCATGCGATCATTCTGGGTGCCAAATCAGAGACAAAACCCATTTGACTCCAGGTTATGCAAGAAGGAAGTTCAACACTCAGCAAAACACAACCCCTATAAGCAACACAATTGGAGACTATCACACATGCACACACAAAAATACGTTTAAAGCATCTTGAGTTGTATCCTATAGGATCTCTGTAGCATAGACAGAGAAAAAAGCCAATTCTATGGGGTATCATTCAATTATTTAACCAGAAGATTTACTACTCTCATCATTCCTCATCTCATTTGGTAATCACTTTCCAATTTCCATCTTCAAAATACAAAAAGTGTTATCTTACAGATAGTGCTCTAGAAAGCTTTTATTTATCCCACAGGAGATCCATCTCATGCACAGAAAAAGCAGAAGTCCTGTGGAAAAAAAGTCTTTTTAAATGCAGATTTAATTGTAACTTCCAATGTTTTAGAAAGACAAATTTAAGGAAGAGAAAGATAAAGAGCAAGATCTTTAAACACTGGAAAAACAAATACTTTTCTTAGCTCTTCCATGCTAATCCAGCATCTAGCAAAGATAATTTCAGGCCAAAATAATAGTCTACAACAACAGCTGCAAACAAACCAAAAATAGAATCCTGTATCAGTAATTACCAAGCAACTTCAAGAACAGTTAATACCAAGAGAAGTCTACAAGAAACTGATTCTTCTTTTATCTAATGAAATATCTGAAAAAATTGGACTTGTACCTGCATTTTGTATGACCCTTCTTGATTGTAACTTACAGCTACATCCACAACTGTTCAATAAAACAAAATATGTATATGTGAGTAGATTTAATTATAGCATCTAGAAAATAATGACATATAAACAATGTTTAGTCTATCTTTCTTGATTAAAAAAAACAGAGACCCACCAATACTAAGAAAAGAACAAGTATTTTCAGATTAGCTTAGTACACACTGCAGACTTCATTATTCTAGAACCAGAATTCTGCAGAATTCTAGACAATTTGTTTTTCACAGATGAACACCTGAGGTTATGCTCTGAAATCTGTATTAAGTTAGCTGGACAGAAAACCGGTTTTTGATGGGAAAAAGCACTCAGCACTTTCACACCAAAGTGAAGTAAAAAAAAAAGTCAACGGCACTCAGCTCTTTTAAAAATCTCAACCTTATTCATTTGAATGATGAACATTAGTACTGTCATTTGAATTTGGTTCACACCTCCTCAAGATCTAACATTGTGGATTAAGCATGCAATTCTGTGAATTCCCAGCTTAAATTGCATAAAACATACTGCTTCTATTCGCTCTTTCTTAGCCTGAATTTTCAAGCACCAGTTGAAGTAATTTTATCCAGTAAGTACCTCCTCTCCCTCCACACACTTCTTTAACTTACTGTTTTCCCCATCCAGCAGAGACAGTTTTCTAGTATAACATATATTTATTCTTCTACCAGTGCTGGATGCAAATGGTGAGAATTTATCTAAAACACAAAATACACAAATATGTTACTTACATTCTACTTTGGCAACACACAATACCGAGAACTTACACCATAAAATCACTGTCCTACTATTACTACCATCATATATTTATACTGAACATAGAAGACTGGGGAACCACTTAATAGATAGTGACAATCCCTCAGTCAAGCTTCAACACTGAATAAACTAATGCTGTGTAACCTACAGAAGACATGACACTAACAACAGCGCTTACTAAGAAGGATGTTGACTGTTCTCCATGAACACATCCTTGAACAGACAAGTATGGGAATTCAGCTGCAACATAGCAGATTCAGATTAACCTTTAGGTGAAGGTTCCAAGCGTAAGAGTAGTCAAACATGGCAGCAAATTGCCTGGGAAGATTGAGGGGTTTTCTATTACTTGGCGTTTCTGAGAATGGATCAGATATACAGCTATCGGATATTGCCCGATTAGTTTATCATCTCTTGAAGCAAGGCAATAGTGTATGGGAATCCTTCCAATCCCCCTTTCCCATATTTCCAGAAGAGTTAAAGTGGAGGAAGAAAGAAAATTAATGAGGTTGTTGGCAGCATATATTGGATTTATATGAAGTTTTTGTTAACAGCAATCACACGCCCCACTGGTATAGCCATTAACAGTGTTGGAACTCAAGAATGTTCAGCTGCTGGAGGCCTGTTCATTTCCTTAAACTCTACTGCCTCTCCCAATCCTAGCAGAGTCAATTTTATCTCTGAAGACCTTGGGCCAACTGTAGGAATAATAGTGACAGATACTCACTGTTTATGCTTGTATAGAGTAAAGAGTACATGGTGACACTGATTATGAATCCCAAGGTCTTTCAGCTAGTGCCTATCTGAAGTGCTGTGGGAAGCAGTCTGTACATTACAGTGGTGATATATTCAATACCTGTCCCTTAACAAGAGTTATAGTCTGCTCTGTGTGTAAATATCTGACAGATGCCAGAATGCAGAACCCTGAGCAGGCACAAAGTAAGGCAAAAAGAGAGCGTGCAAATTAAATAATTGCACATGAGCTCACAGCACTGCCTCATCCAGTCACAAGTAAAATAAAACAAAACAAAAGAATAATGATCCTTACCATCTGACTGATCTCTAAAAGCATCTGTTAGCATTTTCTCTTTCAGTATGAGTCCTAGAGCTGCCTGACACATAACTTCATGTGGGGTTGCTTTTTTGGTTGGAAATAGTTCATCATGGTGTTGAGGAATGAAATTAGTGTGCACATTTCCAGCCTCAAACTGTGGGTGTCCCGACAGGCTCAGTAAGAAATCAATGTTGGTGCTTAATCCTACAATCTGTAAAGAAAAAGCAGCATATTGCCAAATTGAAATGAAGTTAGGAATGAATATACAGCTTTCCGCTCAACTTATGCATAGATGATAGATGAATCTTTCTTCAGAAAGCAACATCAAAACACAAAGATTATCAATAAAATGTAATTAATTCAACTGGTCTGATTTATTAGCAATGAAATCATTGCTTTTAATAAGAAAAAAAAAACAAACCAACAAAAAAACCAAGAGTAACTTTTGAGAAAGCACTCTGTTTTCAGAACGTTACGTTTGTCCACTGTGGAATCAAAGAAAGTTTCCCAGCAATAGTAATGGGGGGTAATTTAGCAAAAAAACCTTATTGTTTCAGAAAATCATGCTCTGAGTATTTAAAAGAACATTCCTAATATGAAAAGTACCTCATATAAAAATGAGTTACAATAGTTTCAGATATTCCATATTTCATCTTTTAATAGTAACAAATGGGAAGAGTGACTTTTATAAATTTACTAGATACTATCCATTTCCTGTACTGAAAAATACCTAAGCAAACAACATGAAAATAGAAATAACTATTTTAGAGAAACGGTGAAACTGGTAACTATATTGTACTGTCAACACTTATTGACAGAACTACTAAGAAAATTCTGAAAAAACTCCAGGGAATTCTTTTATCTCTTTCACTTGCCGTAATCTTAATTTTTAGCTAAAATAATAGCGGGCCAAACATTTTCAGTACCTCAATCATGTTTATGTTGTTGATTTAAAAGTGTAAATTAATTCTGCACAAATAATATTCATTCTCATCTCAAGTCAAACCTTCCGAGTTCCACTTTTGAAAATAGAACAACACCTGTAGTTTTTCATAGGGGAAAAAGGGACTGTTTCTTAAAAAGAACTGAGAGCATTAAAAATTCTCCATATTTCTTTACCACATGTATAGTCTAAAAATTTAACTGTTTTTATAAATTAGAAATTACAAGCAAACGTTGTCTGACACAAATTCCACCTACAAATTTGTTTAAGTTTGAGAACGCTCATACAATTGAAAACGGTGTTGTTTAGCCTTAGTCTTCTACAAAGTTCTAGCTGCATCATCCAACTGAAGATATCACAAACTTAAGAAAAATCTCTGTGTAAAACTGGACTTTACACTTATCTCTACTCACTCCACCAAAGGAAAAAGTATGCAAATTAGGAAAAAATAAAGCTTCTACAAACAAATAATGAATCTGAAATGGTAGTGGCAATGCCGGCTCCCTATTAGAAACCACTTTTGTTTTACTGTAATATTTTATCCATATTTTGTTAGCTCAAGATGTTCACAAAGTCAGCTCAAGATCTGAAAACATACTGCGTTCCTTCTACTTACATTATATTGATGCAAACTGTATCGCAACTTTCTCAGTGCTGCTTGACGATCCTCAGCCCAAACAACTAGCTTTGCAATCATTGGATCATAATGAACAGAAACCTCATCACCTAAAATATATTAAAAAAATGCTGTAACACTAAGCCAGTATTTCTCAAAGTTGGTAATGCATAGTACTGCACACCACATGGCATTAAACTCTTACACAATTGATGGCCACATTTCTCTCTGTTCTTAAAGAACATGAATCTTTAATGATGCGACCTGGCATTTCAATTCCAAGGACAAGTTCAGTACAGACTTTTGTAGAGGTAACATTACTCAAATTCAGTTCTCTGCTGCAATCAGAATGCAGGATTGATAAATTGTGATGAGAATATAATCAGCATGATCCAATGGACAATAATTTGGACATATGTAAATAAAGAGGTAAATAAAATATTCAGTGATTGACCAAAAGTACAGGACAATCACAAGGAAGAATAATTCTGTAAAGATCTGTTTTTATAACAACACCGGCAGACAAACTTATTTAAGCCAAGAGGGAAATGCTTACAAAGAAAAGCTTTTGATGTTAAGTATTTCTGGTTACACAACTGCCTTCAGTTTTACCTTGTCTGACTCCAGTTTCTATTCTGGTGAAACTATCAGGTGGTGGGGTGGTTAAGTGCAGCAATGGCCCAGCCCCTGGCATAAAGTTATTATTAGGGTCTTCAGCATATATTCTAGCTTCAAATGCATGGCCCTGGAGCACAATGTCTTCCTGCATTAGGGGAATCTTCTCTCCTGCTGCAACCTGAAAACAATAGGTTTTTTCTTTAATGTGGGATCAATGTTCTGGAGTGCCAATGTATGAAATATTAAATATCTTTCTTCTAAGCATGAACAACTAGAAAGTACATTAAAAAAGCACAAGCAGAAAACACATGGTAGGTCATAAAAGGCTAATTCCAAAGTTACTCCTTCCTCTTCTCTGGGAGTCACCAAAGGATTTTGAATTATTTTTGTGTAATTTGACCTCTTAATATTTCACACAGTTAAAACATAATGGAAAAACAGACTAATTTTTTTTCTACTGGTTATGTCAAAAAATAATTAAATTATTAAGTTAAAGCCTGGTCAACTAACTGTCCTCATTTCAGCTGGGATAGAATTAATTGTCTTCCTAGTAGTTGGTATAGTGCTATGTTTTTTGAGTTAGGTATGAGAAGAATGTTGATAACACTGATGTTTTCAGTTGTTGCTAATAGTGTTTAGTCTAAAGTCAAGGATTTTTCAGCTTCTGATGCCCAGCCAACAAGAAGGCTGGAGGGGCACAAGAAGTTAGGAGGGGACACAGCCAGGGCAGCTGACCCAAAGTGGCCAAAGGGGTATTCCATACCATGGGATGTCACGTCCAGCATATAAACTGGGGGGAGTGGGGGTGGTGGAAGGATCACCGCTTGGGGGCTAACTGGGTGTTGACTGGTGGGTGCTAGGCAATTGCATTGTGCATCACTTGCATATTCCAACCCTTTTATTATGACTATTGTCATTTTATTAGTATTATCATTATTAGTTTCTTCTTTTCTGTTCTATTAAACCGTTCTTATCTCAACCCACAAGTTTTACTTTTTTTCCCCGATTTTCTCCCCCATCCCACTGGGTAGGGGGGAAGTGAGTGAGCAGCTGCATGGTGCTTAGTTGCTGGTTGGGGTTAAACCACGACACTAACACATGATTTTATTAGAGAAAAATTGCTCCAAAAGCAGATGATAAAATGGATTACTGGCAGCCAGCACTACTGACGTATGCTGTTGATTCCTCTGTATACTGTGGGACCTGTACATTTAAGGGAATGTTTCTCTAAGGGGATTTCTAACAATTTAAGAAATTTTAACAGGGAAGGAAACATCATTTTATTACTCAAAGGAATTCACATTACAAATACAGGAATACCAAAAAACACCAGCAACACACCAGTTTGAGACTGAAAAAACGGGGCTTTTGGGGATAAAATAATAAGAAGTCTGCTGCAGTTAAGCGCAGAGGAGACCCTTTACCAGGAAGCTACACAATTTCCATCTACACGGGAAAATACAAGTTCCTATTAAAAAATCTGCAGCAACATTTCATCTTCTTCCGAAGTGTCAGGGGTTTTCCATACTCTGCTTTCTGCCACCAAACTACGGATTTCAGCAGAGACAGCAGAATATAACTTAGTCTTCAAAGAAAGAGTAATACTATACAGATTCACAAAAATAATCTCTCCAAGAACTGGTAAGACATTTTTATCTATTGACTCATTAAGCCACATGCCAAGGCCACTGAACCTTTTCATCTTATCTTTCTTCCAGTATTGTTTGATCCCTGCTCCAACTCAGCACTCAATGTTCAATTTCCATTCCCAGATCAGAAAGTCAAGTTTCTCCTTTTTGTATCAGCATTTGCCATTTTAATTTTCTTTCTGGTTACACTAAACATGCCCCGCATCCTATCTACTTAAGCTTAATGTGTGCTGCCGTCCTCACTTCTGGATTTAACTAACCAGAATTGTTTTTCATTTCCAGTTCCCTAAGGTCCAAAACTTCCTGTTGTCATTCAAACGTGTGAGTAATCTCTGCAAATTGGGTGTGTGAGGAAATAGCCTATTTCAAGTCCACACAACTATACATTTATTTTAGAATGTGACTACACTGGTATAACACCAGACACATGTTTTTTATGAAGCTTTCCTCCTACAGCCTGATCCAAGAATGATTTTTGGGCCAGAGATATATCTGAACTAGAGTGTTAAAAAATATTCAGCATGGCAAGGGAAAGATCAGGACCCTACTCCTCCTACTTTCCACATTCTCTATAACCTCTCTAAATATACTTTACAAAATGGTTTTTTTCTCTACACAACTAGAAGATGATTTTGTTGGAATTCAGAGCACCTACACAATGCTCTACAATCAAATACAGTAATACAAGATGTTCCTTTGGAGCAAAGGAAACTCTACTGTATTAGCTGAATAGGAGATGAGGATCTGAAAACCTATCTGGTCTCTCATAGGCAATATCGAAGAGCACTATTCACCAGACAGGAGGAACTCTACATGTAAAATCAATTAACACTTACCCTAAGTTGCCATTCCACCAAGTCTGTTCCAGTGATCATCTCTGTAACTGGATGCTCTACTTGCAGTCTGGTATTCATCTCCATGAAGTAAAAATTATGTTTGGAGTCCATAATAAATTCCACTGTTCCTGAAGTATTTAGTAAAAGGGCACTTCACCAAAACAAGACTTTTTCAGAATGGACACCTAAGACACTTAATTCATTTATGCCAGGACAAGACTATTATTTCTAAATCAGATACACTGAATTTCATTAAATTCTACACGAATTATCTTAAAGGGTCACACAATTGTGGTCTGTAAACAGAAGGGTTGTTTTCTTGCACATTTACATATCTTGTGCTGTTTAGCAGCCATTCTCCTCTACAGCAAGAGCTGCATTTCCTTAGAGCTGTAAAAAGTGCATCAGGACTCCTTAAAGCATTGTGTGTGTATAGGGTGTGTAATTATTTTTTACAAATAAGTATCCAAAGAAAGCAGTGAGAAAAGAAAGTCGCAAATAATTTTAGCAGGTTATTTTTCATCTGGGAGATAGTGTGGACTTTACAGACAGTGAGTTGTGTTCTTCTTTTAAAGGCTTTACTGTTTGAATATAAAGTATTCTTTGTATGCTGAAAGAGAAATTATTTTTCCCTTGCTCTGCTCAAACTTTCATTCATAATACTCAGTTTCCAAAAACAATCTAGTTGATTGAATTAGCTGCTCTGAAATTTTTTCTTTCTATTCTTCAGCTCCCACTGGTCTTGAGCTCAGACCAGGTATGCCAATTTGAATTTGTAATTACATCAGAATTAAACATGCGATTACTTGCTTAAACCTCAAAAAAACTGGGGTTTATGTGTCATACTCTAAAACAATCAGATGCCATTTGCCTTGTGGCTTAAACTCTTATTAAGTTAAAAGCATAGCTCTGGAGCAGTCATACCTCCACAGACTTACCTGCTCCCACATAATTCACTGCTTTAGCTGCTTTGACAGCAGCTTCTCCAAGTCTCCTTCGAACTTCTGGATTAATTCCTGGCTGTAAATAATAACAACACAAAAGATTATAAATTATTGTGAACTTTGGTGATATTATACCTACTATGCATGAATATCTCGCGGTATTTAGCAACTGTAGTGAAATCCTTACCAATATTATACCTGAAATCTACGTAATTTTTCCCTGAGAATCATTTTCCTAAAGAAAGTAATTTTTTCAGTTAGAACATTTTCTGCAGCAAAATTAAAACAGGTACTAAGAATTACAAATAAATTACTGCCCACTAAATAAATTCAATGGGGGTTAGCAATTACTTTAAAAATATGTCAGTTCATAAAAACAATTATAAGAACTTTCTGCTTACCCCTGGTGCCTCTTCAATGATCTTCTGATGTCTTCTTTGCACACTGCAGTCTCTTTCAAACAAATACACTGCATTGCCATGCTGGTCACCAAATACTTGGACTTCAACATGCCTGTTCCATAACAATAAATGTTTTCACATATTTCAGTAAAGCCCCAATCCTGCAACTTGACTTCACCCAAACAGACTCTGAACTTGTACACAGTCCTGTACACTTCAGTAAGACTTCTTACAGGTTTAAGTGTCTCCCCTCAAATAGCCAAAAATGTAGAAATGAGGCTGCTATTATGCAGGATTTCAACTGTTTTAGACTTCCTCAATCTCCTAAATGAAACAGGATTCTAAATGCCAGCTACTGCAGTGAAACCTCATAGGTCATATGTATCTAAATGTATCTACATCTACAATGACATGTATCTAAAAGATGCTACCTCTTTATTAGTTATTTTATTATAATAAAAATAAAACCACTTCGCTATTATTTGATAACGATGCTTTTCCTCATAATTTACTGTGTAGCAATTCACAAGAGGCAGCAGCCCTGGCTCAGGAATAACATTGTTTATTTCAGCACACCATTTCAGAGGACAAGTACAAGGTGGCAGACATTCTATGTATAAAACCAACAAAAATCTGTCACCATTCTGATAATTCTCTGATGCTAGCAAAAGAAATTCCTCAGGAATTTAATGAGATTTTTCTCATGCCCATCTAACAGCGTAAGCAGGCCCTTGGTTTCTTTAGAATAAATGCTTTCTTTACAGTGATGCTTCAAGAAAAACAGATGTAAAGAACAAGAGTATCAAATAGACCTCTGTGAGAAGTTCTTTATAAAAAAATATATTAGCTCAGTTTCACAGGTCAGGCATGAGCTAAAGACTATCACTTCTGTTTTAAATATCAAAATAGAGAAAGATTAAATAACTAGTTTAGGACACCTGAGGGCAGCAGAAACACCATGACAGCTTGACTCATGTCTGTAGTTTAAGTATTATAAAGTGATTTATTTTTTTCTAGATGTAAATCAAGTTTAGAAAGCTCACTCAAAAAGGAATATCAATGTCATTAAATGTCACTGCCATGTCTCCCTAACAGAGGTATTTTAATTCTTATCATTCAAAACAAAGTCACTGCAAGAAATTCAATACATTATAAACAATTTTTACTAAATTAAAACCTGCCATAGTGCAAATAAAACATACAAGACCAATTTTCATCCTACTACTAAAACAGTTATGTTTATTTAACAGTAGAATAAACATTAAAGTGTTTATATTAAAACATCTATTTCCCACCTTGGATTATCTACGAATTTCTCAATCAGCACTGCATCATCATTGAAAGACTTCTTTGCTTCTCTCCTAGCTGATTCTAGTTGGTCCAGAAACTCCTTTTCTGAGTGAGCAATTCTCATGCCCTAAAATACAGGAAAAAAAGCATATCTAAATGTCTAAATACATGGTACACAAAAATCCTTGTTGCACACAAACAGCAAGAAATGAGCTTAACGATAACACTTTTCCCTTCTTTCTTAAACTTTAGCAAAATTGTGTATCAACTTCCAGGAATATAATCCTACTAAGTCCCACTGAAAGTGCCATAAGAAGTGTAAAAAACAGATATTATCATTCCACTGATATGGATCAGTAGAGAATTGAATTTTACTCTTAAATATCACAGAAATTTTCCAAGGATGGCAGAGAAAAACTGATTTCATTACAAAACAAATATAGCTATTTTGGAAATAATTAGAATTCTCAATCATGTCATTTTTATAGAAATTTATTTCAGAGTAAAATCAGATTTAGAGAGGCAATTCACCATACATTAAAAACTGTCTAGACACCAAATACTTAAATGGTATTTCTAATCACTTCTTATGCAACATTTAAAACTGCTAGCAAAAAAAGTCACACAAGCCATCACAAAGTAACAATTCAAAGTCACCTAATTTCACACAAACAAATCCACAGGACAACATTTCTGCTTATATGAATAACTGGACACCCACTGACATAAACAAAACTCTTCCAATATATACCAGCTACTTATCTTGTGCCTGACTGCACAACGAAAGGAAATGAGATTTCACAGTGCTAGATTGGACATTAATAGTAAATTCTAGCAAAAAGTAGTTTTCCAGTTTTGTTTTCAGATTTCTTTTAGAATAGTCAGTTACAGATACCGAGACATGAAAACTTTATACCATGTGATGAACACATTAGTTCCTTTACCTTTCCTCCACCTCCACGAACAGCTTTAATCATTACTGGATATCCTATTCTCTTGGCATGTTCCTTTAGACACTCATCTGATTGATCTTCTCCGTGATAACCTTCAACAACAGGAACGCCAGCAGCCGACATTATAGCTTTGGAAGTACTTTGACAGAACAGTTTTATATTTAGAATTATAATAATAGTTTTTCTTACTTTAAGCTCCAAATGTGTATATGTTCCCAATGTTAACTCTCTTCACAAAAGTAGTTCCACTGACCTGAAGAGGACTGCTTACTTAAGTGGGTTACATACGATTGGATTGTAATTATTCGAATGCTTCAAATAGGGATTTTTTTTCTCCAAGCCCTTCACATAAAAGCAGTAGTCAGTTTCAGGCTTACTGTTCTTTCCTATCTTTTGACCCACGTTACAGAGATCACAACCTAACATTTTCAAATTACAACACTGTATCCTGCCAAAACTAGAGGCTGGATTCACACCACACATAAAACACTCAAGCGTAACAACTGTTAACTTCAAACATGCATGCAAAACTAGTTAAATTACAGAGGTAATTTACTCTCACATTAGGAAGTGATAAAAAATTAATTTTCTGAAATTAATCTTACACAGTTCATGTGTTAGTAATAACCTTATTTCCATATTCTTGGTTTACACTTCATACCCTGGAAACATTTCTTTGATCTAAGTAACTAAGAACAAGATCCTCTGTGATGAGCAAAACTTAACACCCCATTCTACCCGAGCCACAATAATCCCTGATGATATGGTGTTTCTTCTCCACTGTTCTTTTGACCAATATACAAGACATCCAATCTGACTGCTGAACCCTTACCTATACAACGCTGCAATGCCCCAATTTTGAAAAACTAGAACCAGTTAGGTATTTAATTACCAAAATCCTAATAACTGAACAATCTTGATTGTTTCTATGTCTATAGGAATCCCACATCTATAAACCTGGAGCTTATTCCTTTGAAGAAAGCCATAAAAATATAAGACAATGAAAACTGACAGAATAAAATAATTATGTAGCAACTGGTCATTTGTTAACAAAATTAGCTTTGCCAAACTGTAAACTGCATAACCAAGGAACAAATCAGAAATAGATACCTCTTAATACCCATATCTCTGATAGCAGATGAAGGCGGACCTATGAAGATGATTCCCTCTTGCTTGCACAATTCTGCAAACTCTGTGTTTTCTGAGAGGAAACCATAACCTGGATGAATAGCCTAAAACAGAATAATGTTACCAGCCTATTTTTATATCCGTTTAGCTTAGAAAACCCTGAACTTCAGTAGAGTGCTAAGGAAACACAAGGTGGAAACACCATGGGTAAAAATAAAGAACTAAAGAACATGGAAGTAACAGAAGATTTAAGGTCATGATCTACTTACCTGTGCTGCTGAGACCTTGGCCACCTGCATTATTTTTTCCATGGCCAAGTAACTCTGCTGTGAGGGTGCTGGACCAATGCAATATGCTTCATCTGCCTGTTACAGAAAAATTACATATAACAGATACTATTTATTAGATAATAAAAAGCAATTTTAACTGAATTTCTGAGCCAATTGTATTGTTTATCAGACTGCTAAGCATGCAACAGTTTAAATCACTGCCTCTCTTCATGGAGAGACTCAAGTGGCTGAAACAAATTCTGACTTTCTTCCCAAAATCAGAGTCCATTCTCTAACTCCCAGTGGCTACTCTGGAGTTAGAGCACCAAACTTTAAGGCACTTCCTGCAAAGTTGTCAGGTGCTGAGACAGACTAGGCAAACTTTTCATTGATTCAAGGAAAACTTGGAAGTAACTCTACAGAGGTGAAAATCAACTGCATTAGCACACAGATCTACTTTCACATTGAACTAATTAATGAGAAATACTGTTGTGAATGATCGTTAATCACAAACTTAATGAATATACTTCACCATTGCTACATGCATGGAATTTCTGTCTGCTTCACTATAAACTGCTACAGACTTCACACCCATTTTCTTTGCTGTTCGCATCACTCTGCATGCAATTTCTCCTCGGTTTGCAATAAGAATCTTCCCTATGTTGTGACCACCTGTTTAAAAGCATGAAGCACAGTAAGCAACTTCTAAAAGAAATATATGCTCAAAAACTTTCCTGGAAATAAAGCAATTTTAAATTCAGATTTCTTTTTCATCATTTATAGTGTTTATGCATTTCTTCCAATAATGAAAAAACACATGCTTCATCCAAAAGCATTTCCATGCTAGTCTTGGAATGTTTTCCTTAGAGTCCCTATGCAGAAGTATGTTTAATTTGGGTCTTTTTTTTTCTTTTTAGAATCCAAGAAATATATTCTAACCCTAAAACAACACTTGAATGTAAAAGTTGATGCTTATACTTTTACTGTGTACTTTCTGGACCAGCTAGTAAACAATTAACACCTGTGCCACCCCCCCAGAAGTGATTCACATTTGTTTGAAGAGCACTATTCCCCAGTGATACACAGTCTCAAAGAAATAACAAGGTATGAAGTTTTTTGTTGTTTTTTTTTTTAAACAGTGACATACAAGCTTCTATTATGCCTCATGACAGCAGTTAAAACATGACAGAAATACAAGGCCAGCACAGCCAGAGACCTCACAGGCAGAACTAAATAGCTTAAAACTAACTAATAAAATGAAAATATATCTCTGAATTCTAAAACATATCTTTTTAGACAACATGACAATAGGGTCAATTTAAATCATCTTGCTAAATACTTTTCACTTTCCTTCATATATTTTTTAAATACCATTATGCCTAAAAACAATTCTCACAGACTTTCCAACATTTGTATCAGAAAAGGACTCAGAGGAAAATGTCATAAAAATAAATAGTTTTCATTAAGTTGAGTATACCTAAATATGACAGATAAAATTATTCAAAATGTTGTTTACACATTAAAGATGATTTCTGTTAGGTCAGCTACAAACTACTGTTTTCAAAAACTACACAAATATGCAATATTTATTAATAAAAACCTCCAGTTTTTGAGCAACTAATGGTCTAAAACTAATTGTAAAACCATCCCCATTACACAAGCAATTAAACCTAGTAGCTAAAGAAGTTAAATTTCATACCTATCGTTGAGGCCCATTTCACAAATCTTTGTACTTGATTCCATCGCCTGTACAATTATAAACACACAGAAGTGTTACAAAAGCACATGCGAAAGTGGCAACTGAGCTACTTTTATCTTCAGGTGAGAGAAGGACAGCACTAGAACAGGTCTGAAGCTTTTGATACAGCTATTTACACAGAACACATTCAAGTACAACAAAGAAGGTTGTACAAACTTCACCAGATCTCTCCTTAAGTGTTTTCATTTAAACACAACAGAAATCATCCCCTTGCTTTTTTAGCAGCATTCAAATCAAAACAGTCAACACACTTGTTTTAAAAAAAACCCAAACAACTCTTTTAGTGGACAGAACAGCCAACATCTGGCATTTATTACAACTTGAAGTATTTGGGAAAGAAGACTTGAACAACCATAAAACAGAAAAGTTTAAAAAGGAAATGGGAGTTGTTTGTATGGAGAAAAGGAGCAAGAGAGAAAAATGTGAAAGATAGCAAGAAAGAAGCCCTATGAAGAATTTCAGAAATGAAAAGTTAAACCTCAGATGACTAATGCTGAAGAAATCAGACAGCGAAGGCTAAGTGGCTGTAAGAAACTGTAAAAGTAAACTCTTAGAAGTGTTTTGATTAACATATAAATCAACTTTGGAATCTTGGATCAAGTCCAGCAATTCATAAATGGTATCAGACAAAGAGACACGAGACATCCTTGACACCAGACAACCCAATGCTCGGTTTCAATAACTACTGAGGAAATTAGCGCATTTCCTAAACTTCTAATAAGCAGCTGTCACGGTCACTAACTGCTTCTGCACAGGATTACAAGGCAGCGGGGGGGGGTGGCTACTGCGCGCAGTCAGCGACCGTTACCAAACCCCGAGCACCCGCGATATACGAACACATGCAGATAACACGCTGACGTTCGTGGGACCTGTACCAACCGCTAAAACCATGCCTGAAACTCCGGGTGGGTCTTTTCGCTCTTTCTTTCCACAGAGGAGCTCGGGGTACCTGCACCCCCCCACACACAGGCGCCATCCTCGGC